ATATAAATTTAGCATATATGCAATCTTCCAATGTTATTGTTGAGTGGCACATAATTTACGACGATGAAGTGATAATTTAATGTCTTATCCTCTAACAGACATCCAACACATACTGATAATGATTTTTTTTATATGGAGAAACTCATAGCGAACAAATTTTGAGGTTGGGCCCACTCAAGGTAGTTCACTATAAGTGTATAAGTACAAAAATATACAATGTTCCCAATATTGAGATGGCAGAGTTATAATTTTATATCAAATATACCACATGTATATATACACTAGACATCAAACTTTAGGAGCCCTTAAACACATTTTTGTGTTTTGAATATAAAGGTCACAACACATAAGTAGTGGTTGGCAAGAAGTTATCGTTAAGTTTTTAATATAACTTTATAAATTATGGTCGTATTCAAATACACAACGCCAATAGGTGGGGGTTGCCAACATCAGCAAACATAAGTGGTTGACAGCATCTGACGAGCGGTAATTGATGGAGTTCTGCAACTATGGGTGTCAAGTTGTCGTTGGTTCTTCAGTACAATATTGTGCATTACAAATGTATTTATGATATGTTATTATATGACAGCAAGGGAGCGACCAGCCTTGTTTAATGGATACGAAGGTTAAAAGTCATTGAGAGATATTTAATACAATGTTGCACGCTATAATCTTATTTGGGATACGTCATTATCATGCGGGGGTTGCAAACAGCGACAAGCAAGAGAGGTCGGCGGTGGTCAACTGCTATGGAAGCCGAAATTTACTATTGGCTCTTCAATACGACGTTGCACGTTAAGACCATATTTGGGATACATTGTAATCAAGCACAAGTCGCAGACGACAATAAGAAGTAATCGGCGACGACTAATTGACGATGGTCGAAGATGATAAGCGGCAGGCGATGATTGATAGTGATCGACAACTACGAATGTCAAAAGTTATTTGGAGAGTAATCCTCCAAAACCCCAAAACCATAACATTAACTGTTGACTTGATTTTATCAATGATTCTTGATTTTTTTTGTGACAACATATTATGTATATGATCATGTCACTTGCATAAGCATCTGGTGAGTAATCTCATCAAAATGACACAATGATACTTTTTCACAAGCTTCGAGTTAACAAAAAACATACAAATAAATTTTGGTCTTATGATGACACATTTGGTGACGCAAATCACCGGGGGTCGCATCACTATACATCTCATCAAGGAGTGATACGGCGCCGAATGATTGGCGGTCGGATCAAAATATTTTTTTGGAGCCATGACACTGACTTTTAATCAAATGATTATATAAAATATTTGGAATCAAAATTGCGATTGAGCTCGAACCCTAACCCAAAGTTCAGGCATGTGTTGATTTTTAATCGGCTTCTCGCGAAACCATCTCTCTCCATTTCTTCCCTGCAAAAAATCGGAAACTAGGGATTGCGATGGCATTAACTGGGCGTATCAGATCCGGACTTCCCTTCTTCCGTTACCTCCTGAGATCGGAAGCCACCCTCTCCCGGCGATCGATTGCCGATAGAAGCTTCCCAAGCCCCAATCTTGCAGGTTCCGAGGTATATCCTAAACCATCTTCATCCTCACTGGAGAAATACGCTGTTTCCGCTGCTGATTTACAGCTCATAAGACTGCTTATATAATTGAAAATTTGCAATGAAAATCAGTTTACGTGTAACACATGTATGGCGTTTCATTCGGAAATTAAGTCGTTTGGATCTTTTGTGGATGTAAAATTCTTGTTTGTTTTTGATGCAGGGCTTGAGGTGCTTTGCGACGAAAACGAAGGAGACTGAAGCAAATATTAAGGTAATGGAGATATTAAACTCTGTTAATATTGATAGCTTATCAATCTATTGATGGTAATGTTGGTGTTTGTTGTCTCTTAAAGAATCACATGAAGCATTAATTATCTTAGTTTTGCGCAGTTTATGTATTTATTTAACTTGTTGGTAGTATTTTGTGCTAATTTTGTGTTTTTTAGATTATGACAGTGTTGACGAAGGTTTCAATCTTAGTTTTTTTTTATCGGTATAGGTGTCATATTTATTTAGTTTGGATTAGTTCTCTGTAAAAGGACTTGTAAGTTGTCTTGGCTTACTTTACTTCTCCATCTTGGTTGGAGTGTTAAAGCCAAATTTTTAGGGGATGTTTGGTAGAGTTTTTTAACAGCATTTATCATTGGATTTTATAAATCAAACCAATTGATAAAATGCAGAAGTTCAGTGGATTTATGAATTTTTGGATTCAGTAAATCCAATTTCTGTCTAAATTCGGATTTATTAAATAAGCTGGTAGGGCACGAAACTTGGTGGGCAATTTGGGGTTTTTAAAAGTAATTCTTTTGAAAATCGCAGATATAAAAAAAATTGATATTGATAATGACAAATTGAAAAGTTCAAGTTAGGGTATGTTTGGAATAGCTTTCTTTTTGTGCTACGTTTGAGATTGTCACCATAACTTTGACTTTGGAACTACTTTCTAAAAAATAATGTGGTGATAAGCTGCATTTTACAATTAAGTTCTGTTAAAATGTGTGGTTGAGCCAGCTCACAAATCAACTTCATCTAACATTTATGGGGATTCACATTCATGGAAAAACTTTGTTTTTTACATATCTCACATTTAAAACATTATATTTACTTATAAAAACCGTAAACTGATATTAATCATAAAAAATAACATCTTTCAAAACTTTGTCACCTTATCGGTCAAACGCCTCCCTCCCCTTCTCTTGTTTTCACCCTCAACCAGTGCCTTCCTCCCCTTCCCTTCTCATGACTAAAAATCTCGCGATGCAATCACAACTAGAGGTAGCTAGGAAAGGTAACGATGGGATTGCAACGCACAAATACCTTCAGAACTTCCATATTCACCTTCAGCTCCGCTCTTACTCAAAGCCATTGAGGAAAGTAGCCCTCGCTGATACTATAACTAGTCGAGATGCGGTGTAATATAAAAAGCAAATTTTTATTAATATAAAAATAGTGGTACAACACGAGTCAACAAAATGAAAATACAATAATAGACGAAACATTAGCTAGAGCTATAGGAAAAGATTTGAAGGTGGTAGCGGCGTCGGTGAGGTGAGAGGCCGTTGGATAGGCATGTGCTTTTGTGTGGTTGGTTGTGTGGATTGAATGGCGAGATTGGGGAAGAAGTAGGGACGACGGTGGATTGGTGGTGGAATGTGGGGGTGGTAGGTGGCCAGTGGAGTGGTAAAGGAATGGGGGGGCAGTAGATGGATGGTGGAGTGGTAGGAAAAAGGATGGGTGAGTTTATAACACCACCTCGGAGCAGGATACAACAGAAACATCACCTGTCGTCGATTACAACCTTAACAAGAGGGAAGAGGCACAAGATATTAGGAGACAACTTCTAGTAGAAATGCATTCCATACACTTAGAGTACAACTATTTATACCCTCTTTCCTGCTTCGTGCGTGACCGCGAAAGGTCGCGAAACCGGAACTGCGGGATCGTGGCCGGCAATGCTTCGCGAGAGATCGCGGGGTTTTGGCCCCCGTGGGATCGCCCACCCCGCTTCGTGGCTGATACAGCTTCCGCATCACTCGTTTTTTTTCTCTTTCTCCCACAAACTTCATACTCTTTAATTCCCATAAGTCCCATAAATTCAAGAATTAAAGCGAAAAAGAAATAAAATGGGATTTGATACCCTGTAGGATTTAAAGCTATCATTTTTTTCTGTTTGGCAGGATTTAGGTTAAATATTGCTTAAATCCTGCTCAAAGGGGAGAGAAATGAGACTCAAGATTCTGCAAGATTGAAAGTTGTCATATTTTCTGTTTGGCAGGATTTAAGTTATTTATGTGGTACATCCCCAGCCTGTTTTTTCCACTTTCGGATTCCTCGATGCTTGAGTCCTGACATTTACAACCGAGGTGCTTCTAGAGGAGCAAGGCGAGTGGGAGTATTTGACGGAGAAGGAACTGAGTTCTCATAGCCATAGGTTTATTTTTGAGGATTAAAAAAGTTTTAAGTGCTTTGTTGGCAAATATAATGTTTTATATGTGATATATGTAAATAGTTAAGTTTAAAGTGCTATGTCTGTGAATCTCATATTTTTTAATTGATTTAGTTGAGGTGATGATCCCACTTTATATCTTGTTTAGATTGAGGTTTATTTTTTTCTATTCAGATGTTTTAAAACCTTTTGCTGCATAATTACCTGTCAATATTGTTTTTATTTATAATTCAAACAACTGTTATGAGTTTAATAATGCCTATGTTCAAAATTCAAAATGGTTTAACCCTTCGTTGATTTTTTTTCAAAAGGAATTTAAATCATCTTCTGTGCTTAGTTCCATCTAATTTAGATTGTGATCTGTTTCATCTTAAATGTCCTCCTCTTACCATAAAAATTGTTTTAATTGAAACTAATATTCCCACTTTTTAGTGCCTTATGACTTGACGATTAACATCATTCGTTGGACTTCAAAGCTTCTTAAGTATTAATTGCTGTTATTTTTTATTTTGATTTTTAAAATTTGTTTCTGCGCCTTTGCAGATCCCTCTGTCTCTCTTTGGGGGTACTGGAAACTATGCATCTGCTCTATTCCTCGCTGCTGCCAAAGCCAACCAGTTAGACAAGGTTGAATCGGAGATACTCGATGTCGTCGAAGCTTCCAAGAGGAGCCCTCTGTTCTCGAGTTTCATTAAGGATCTATCAATACCGAGGGAGACCAGAGTAAAAGCTGTGTCCGAAATTTTTTCGGAGGCTGGTTTTACAGATGTCTGCAAGAATTTCTTGAGTATGGAACTCAAATAGATTGCATCATTGACTTGTTAAAAACATTGCAAAAGATAATATTAATATTCCAAGTAATATGATATTCATCTATATTTTGGAGGATTCACATACATAACTTCAATTCCTATGGATTTACATATCTAACCCCTAAATTTCAAATTTAACATAACTTCACTAATGCATGAAAAAGTGAATTTCACTTTTTAAAAGTTGAAATGATGGTATTTTTTATGTGATAGGAAAGATTTGGGTGGTGTTAATGTAAAAGTAATGTTTAGGTGTTGGATATGCAAATACATAGGAATTATGTGGTATGTATGTAAGTGCCCCTTATTGTTGATTTATAGTTGTTATCCATGTGTTGCTGCATATAACCGGGCATGTATTTTGGTTTCCTATGGCTTGTATATTTGGTTAATCTGCATCTTCACTGTTGTACTAAATTTTTTTTATTAGTTGGATATTTGCATCCATAGATCACTGATTCTTTTATTCACCTTTCTTTTTATGCTTTAACTTCATATTTTTCAATAACATCTAGACTTTTATATTTACAAATAATGTGAAAGTGCAACATTCATTACACTAGCCTATTTTTACTACTCCATGTCATGCTCCATCCATCTATTATTCACGTGATTTAACCATTCCCACTTTGTTGCGTCTCTAAAGTTTCCATCTTTTAGGTCTCCATTTATGGATTAGGAAGCCTGTATAAAGCGGTTCCAATCAAAGTGGTAAAATGAGTAAGTGTTGCTTGATGTTTGGAGAAAAGTGCCAAAATGGTTCCCCGGTTCTTTTTAAAATTTTAATTTTAGTCCCTAGACTCCTTAATATGGGCTGAAGTAGTCCTTAATAAGGACTATTTTTTCAACCATTAAAAGAGTCAGAGGGACTAATTTATCACTTTTATAAACTTTGAGTCAAATGTTCACATGTAAATAATCAGGGACTATTTTGACACTTTACTCATGATGTTTAGTTGTAGAAAGTGTGAATTCTTCATCCCATCAACCTTACCAACAACTAGCCCCTTTTAATATAGTTAATACATCATTTTTCCTGACCTTCATCTGCCTATTTTTCCTTATTTGTCTGTTCTTGTTGCTTTTCGAGTTTCAAAGCAAATTGCCTTTTTGGTTCTGTTGATCTGCTTAGCGAAAATCTTTTGACCATGTTTTCAGTTGACTTAACTCATTGATGAGATTAGATTTTCGAGGCATTTACAGACATATCACACCATTTTTAGGTATTTAGATATCTAACATCTAAACTTCTATATTTATTGTTTAACACTCAAACGTCTAACATCACTTAAAAATTACCACTGTTACTAAATTTTAAAACTAAATACATTATGGCATGCATAAGTTTATAACACCAAAGTGTTATAAATGTAAATATCAACTTTAAGTGTTATATGTAAATATACAAGATTTGTGTAGTATGTATGAAATTTTCCTAGATTTT